TTGGATATTACATTCGAAATTCGGACTCTTAACTCTTGAATTCGAGTTGGGCTGCTTTAAAACTTGGGCTGCTTCAAGGTACTTCTGCGAGTTGGGCTTAAGTTGTGAAATGGGCCTGGCTACGAACTTGCTCCGACTTTGGGCTCATTTTCGTATTTGATTCGGCCGAATCAGTCAAAACCCAAAACATAAAAGTTGTGGGTCTTCCTTTCTTCTTTCTAATGCTTCTTGAATTGTCCAATTCGGATCCGGAATTGAGACTTAGGCCCAGATTACTGATTGTCACCAAAACTATGCAAAATCACCCGATTTGCCCTATTTTCTTCCAATTGCCTTTTTATTGCCCTGAATCGAAATACAAGAGTAATGAGTGCATTTAAGTCTTAAAAAATAATGTAAAAAGATGAAAATTAGGGGACAAAAATAGAGTTCTTTTCAGTCTCATCATTGGCCCTCTCCTTCTACCCTATATGGATGTAGTCCAGCAAGATCTGGTTATAGGGTCAAGCTACTTGTCACCATCACCAACCTGGGCCTCCTCATCACCTCCCTCCTCGACCTACGTGACGAGTTCGTCTAGAACCCCGCACACAGAAATAGAGCCGAAGTCAAGAGCGAGATATAGGGACTTCAGATAACGATGACATAATTTGAAACATTTCCTCATTGATGGGATACCGTCCTCCACCCTCTTCTTTTCATACTCTAGGGACTACAAATAAAGAGCAACAACTTCTTCCCTAGCTCGGTGCATGTCCTGAGTACACTTCGACCACCTCTCCTCCAGCTTGCAATGCGCCTCGATCAGCTTGTGTTGTGGCTGGGTCAGCCCGCGTTGCGGATTCTGGTTCATTTGGTAGAGGCGCTGATGCTCCCCCTCAGAATCGACTTGAAGTTTCTGCATCTCGGCCTAAAGCAAACCGATGTTTGCCTGCATGTTGGCCCTCTCCTTATGCCCTATATAGATGTAGTCCAACAAGATCTGGATATAGGTGTTTGCCTGCAAAGAATGAAATCAGGATAAAGGATCTCGTAGAAAGGGATCAAGAAACTCAAAAAGAAGAACAAACCTAGATGATGCACTGAATCATCCGAGCTTTTGTCTCAATAGGGTCCAGCTCGCTGAATTAGTGCATATCCTTAGGGAGAAGTATCCCCTAGCTAGCCGGAGAGCTACACGCGCATTGCTCGACCAGTCTATCATTGAAATGTTAGGAACGCTAGGGATGTATGAGACATAGGGGCCGGTGCTGCTTTGTGGACATTGGCTCATCATCCCCCTCTAGGTCGACAACAGGGGGCGTACTGGCCAAAGTCCCCTCCATGGAGGAACAATGCTCAGCTTGGCACTTTTTCTGATGAGACCTCCTCTCCTTATCAATAGACATCATGGAAGTCAAGCTCGCCATACCTACAAAAAGAATAGAACCATTAGCCAAGCTGATAATATAAGGAATACCAAATGCAAATGCATGACCTGTCAAATGACCCACCTATGCAGCTCGCACCCGCCTGCACTAGCATGGGCTCAGTTAAAACCTTTTCAACCTCCACCCCCTCACAGACAAATTCCTGAAGGGCAACTCGCAACTCATCATCCTCACTCTCAATAGCATTCTATCAATTATTGTCCCAAATAGTATCCACACCCTAGCCACCATCCTTTCTGAGACAGAAGAGTCTCTTCTTCCACCCTTTAACTTTGTTAGGAAAATCAGTTAGCACCTTCCTACCACTGCAAAAAAGGAAGTTAGAAACAAAAGGGACCTGAAATCCTCTTCATGTGATCCAAGGTGGAAAAAGCCTCGAGACTCAAAGGAAAGTTACGATGGTGGAACAAGCTGATTAAGCCCACCAGAGCCCGGATCGCGTTAGGTGCGAGCTTACCTAAAGACACGCAATAATGCCTTAACACAGCCACTATGAAAGGGTGAAGAGGAAAGCGGAGACCCATGGCCATTGCCTCCTCACAGACACATAGCATTTTGGTCGTGATTCCAGTGGTAATGACCAGTCAGAGGCTCGATCCAACTAAGCATGTTGGGGATCTTGTAATGGTAGCACAGCTCGATTATCTCTTCACCAAACAGCTCGGTCGGGCTGAAGGAAGACATGGCTTGCTCAACCTCGTGCCTCTTCCCCACCATGGCACCACCACAGAATACACCGAACGAGTCCTCCCCTGAGGGACTCACTTCACCGCCCGAGTCATGGTAAAACGATTTACTCTCCACTAGACTACCAAACATGGTGAAAAGAACTTGAATACTCACCGGAAAAGATGGAAGGAACCTGAAAAAACAGCAGCGTTAGAGCTCGAACTAGTAGAAAATTGGAGCTTGGCTCGATAGACTGGTTCAGATCGCAAAATTGCAAACCTCCGACCCCTCCCAAAAACCTCCAAGAAGCTATAGTGTATGTGTGGGGACCTCAGTAGGGACCCCATACTTATAACTCGCCAAGAATGAGATTGACGGTGTGGATGCGAGTTATAGCTAGCAGAGCTGCACAAATAAGAGATCCGATGGTGTAGATTTCGAGCGCACAGAACAACCAGACTACAGCTGCCAAGGCATGCGCGGGTGCAAAATTTTGAGCGCACAAATTTAAAAATTTCACTCACGCAACGGGCACCGAGATTTAAATTTGCGCGCCCGCCAAACACTCCTCCTTGCACACACCCGAACGTCTAGATCCACGGATAGTTTGAGACACAAAGGTCCACAATGGAAAGTTATCTACAGAAGTTGCAAGAGCTCATCCACCAACTTAAGCACTTTAACATCCAGCAAATTCCTTGAGACCATACGAGCCGATGTGCTATCCAAGTATGCTAGCTCTTTGAAAACTGACCTCAG